GCTACGGTTCATGATCAAGGTCAGTAATTTCGTCGACAGCCTTAAGCATAAAGTGTGTGTGTGTGTGTGCGTGTGTGCGTGTGTGTGTGTGTGTGTGCGTGTGTGTGCGTATGTGTGTGTGTGTGTGTATGTGTGTGTGTGTGTGTGTGTGTGTGTGTGTGTGTGTGAGAGAGAGAGAGAGAGAGAGAGAGAGAGAGAGAGAGAGAGAGAGAGAGAGAGAGAGAGAGAGAGAGAGAGAGAGAGAGAGAGAGACTCATGTATGTGAGTGCACGTGCGTATGTCTGTTTGCTTGTTTGTTTGATTGTTTGAGTAAAAAAAAAAACCCCACAAATGGTCAATAGTGTGGGGGAAAACAAGAATACAGGCAGAAACAACAGAAGGAGAGTAAAACAGTGGGACCTATCTTGAGTGGCGCATTTCAACCACCAGCATTATAGAGACTGCAAAGGCACATTGGGGCTTGGAAAGAGCAAGACGCAGACAAACGCACCCACAGACAGACGTTGGGACAGACAGGCAGGCAAGCAGACAGGCAGGCAGGCAGGCAGACAGGCAGACAGACAGACAGACAGACAGACAGACAGGCAGACAGGCAGGCAGGCAGGCAGGCTACGCTCTTTTAATTGTGATATTTGTATAGTTTGTCTAAGTTATAAAAATTTATGTCAAACGGGCACACTGTACGATAAAAAAAAATGCAAGGTTAAAAAACTAGTATATATGATCACGGCTACTGGTTTTAATATCTGAACCAGTGAAACAACACCTCCGCAGAATCGAGACTATTAAAATACCCCCCTCTCGCCCCAGATACACACATGCGCATACTAGCCTACATACACACTAAAAGTTATAATATGGATGGTTAGGAAGGCAAGCAGGCACGCAGACAGGTGAGGTACGAAAAGGAAGGAAGGTTGCCTGATTGAAAAATAGACTGATAAAATTGTTGTTGTTTTTTTTTAAGAGAAAAAGAAAGAAAGTTTATTTTAAAAAAAGAAAGTGACAATGAAATGATGTGGAGCAGATAGGCAAAATATTGTGTGGATACAGGAAGAGGGAGCAAGGCGAAAGCTGAGAATTACAATATAAGTATGCTGTTTTGGGAGTACAATGAGAACTATCTTAAAGGTTATTACAGTATAGGCCTTAACTTTAGACTATTTCCTATTGCATCAAGACTACTTTGATTTTTAACAAATGCTTTTCGCCGTCGTTGACAAAATGTAGATCATGTGTGGTGGAATCAGGCGTTCGTCAATGTTTAGGGATAATAATATTAATATTATGGAGTTATTAATATAATTTTAAAGAGTGTTCATTTTCCTAGCTTTTTATTTAAAAGATATCCATCTATCCTGAATATACGTAAGGGATATTTACTATTGAATTAGGTTTTTGGTTGTTTTGTTTTGTTTTGTTTTTCGTTGTTGTTGGTCGTTTTTTTGGTGGGTTTTTTTTTTTTGGGGGGGGGGGGGCATCACCCATTGTCAGAGGAATAATATGGGAGAAAATTGCCGCGAAAGTTTGGTGACTTCCAAAACTTAAGTGTCCTTGGAAACGAGAAGTATGCAGTTTTTGTGTGCCTTTGATAGACGTTGTCAGTAAAATTCACACAGAAATATATTTCTAGATGGACATAAAAGATGTTGAATTAAAAGAAAAAAAATAGTAAATCGATCAAACTTGCCCTAGACAGACATCGGGTTATTTTTTAAGTCTTTACTTTGACGAACGCGTAATGTTTCACAGTGATATCACACATTTACAGCAGGCTTCTTCTATTTCGTCAGGGCTACCCGCACTGGAAGGGATACAGTGTCCTTGAAAACAGACGGAGATACTCAATACAATGATTAAATTGCTTTGCATAGTAACCGAACCGAAAACACAGACAAAGAGCTCAACAATTACAATACAGACGCCGTTTTACTAAATAAAAGCAGAAGCATGACTTGCAAATGTCTACGAAAGTCTATCGAATTACCAACACAAATAATACTTTTTTTTAAAATATATAATTAGTCACACGTGCCTGTTTTATCTAATCTAATTAGTGGCCTCATTTACCAGTACTATTGCTCTCCTATGCCGAATAACGAATCATTGTTAGGTACCTATTTAAGATTCCCACTTTTACACTTTGGGCGACAAAAGGTGTTTTGGTAGTTAGTCAAATAGCCTTTCAGGGATAGAACATTATAGTATGCCGTCAGCTGTTCCAGTATTGTCGCAGTAATTCCCATTCCGTCTTAATAATATGCCTGTTGCGTTTTTTTATTGCTTTTATTTATTTTTTCTTTCTTTTTTTATTTCGCTGAATATCTGTGGATTCCTCGTAGAAATCCAAAAAGGGACTATATCTGACGCCCTCGGTTTCTTGGTTTATTCAATTTAGTTTTAATAAAAGTTTTGCGGCACTTGCAACACAATTAGGTCATATAAGTGCCGAAGATTAGATGTATTTACAGAGAATAACAAACGCAAAAAGGAGAAGGAGAGGTAAGGACGATAGATTTTTGACAGAAAAGAAGGAGCAAACCACTCAAGAGTATCCGCCAACAATAAACTTTTGGGGTTGTTTTCGGACTTAAGTTCCATTGTGTTTATTTCACAAATCTGTTTCCGATTTCCAAAAAACTCAAATTTGGTAAGTTTTAGTTTTGGTGAGAGATTTACGGCATTTGCAACACAAATAGGTCATACAAGTGCCGAAGAATAACATATACACAAAGGAAATTGTTTTGTTTTTGTTTTTGTTTTTGTAAAGTGTTTTACGGCGCTCGCAACTGCATAGGTCATATGAGCGCGCGGGACACTCCTAATATTTTCAGTTGGTAGGAAATTTTGAATTTTGCCCGGGTGGCGGCCGAAGCCTACTCTTATCGATTTTAGACCACCAAGGGATCTTTAACGTGCGCAACTTGCACACGGGCCCTCCGAGATTTTTCGCCCTTGTCCGAGAAGGCTAGGTGTAGATCTTTCCTACCAGAAGATCAGGGGTGTGGCAGAAAGACAGCAGTAAGGAGGAGCCAAGGAGTAGCAGTAGAAAGGCTGCAGAAAGAGTCAGGAGCCCAGAGGAGGGGGCAAAGGAGGCGAGGGGGTGGGGGCAGAAAGTGGAAATGAAAGCAGACAACAGAACATTGCTAGAAAGCAGGAAAGGAGGTGAAAGGAGACAATTTTAGAGAAGAAAATTTTTCGGTCGCTACCCGGATTCGAACCCGGGACCTTTGAATTAGAGGCCAACACCTTAACCTCTAGGCCACGAGAGCCCCCACAAAGGAAAGAAGAGAGATAAGGGCAATAGATTTTGATAGGAAAAAAGGTTCAAACTACACTAAGACGCCCGCCAACCACCCACCAAACTTAAAATGATGGTGAAATAGTATAGGTTTAACGCCCCAATCAACACTAGTAGGTTATTTAACAGGCGGGACGTCCGAGTTCAACGTCCATCTCCGGAAGGACCGAGCCAAATGGGAAATTTGTGTAAAGTGTCTTTCCCAAGCACACAACATTAGACCGAGCTGAGGCAAGAACCCCCGAACCCGCAATCTCACTTTGACGGGTCCAGTGGCCTAAGCACTAAACAACCGAGGCGACTCTGCCAAACTTAGTTAATAATGATACCAATATAACACATGAAAACCATACAACACTTCTCAACTGCGTTTATTTGTTTGTTTGTCTGTTTGCTTGCTTGCTTGCTTGTTTGTTTGCGTGTTTGTTTGAGTAAAGAGAAGCAAATCGGCATATTAATAATCATTTGGTGGTTTGGGGGGGGGGGATACAAACAAAAAACCCAGAAGGAAAGTATAGAAGTAGAAGATATACCAGTGGGGCCCTCCAACCATCCGCTCTTCTATTTCCAAGAGACAGAAAACGTGAAAGGAAAAAGGTTGGATCCCGTGTTCGTACTCTTGCATCCAAATCTAGCAGCTCACCCACCACGGCCACAATAAAATTGTGATGCATCAAGTGTTAGTCAAAGTATGACATTACTGAGGTCTGTTTAGAGACAGAGACGTGGTTTGTTTTTTAGTGTTCACTGTGCACTCGCAAGAAGACTCGGTTACTATCACTTCTTATAAGGCGTTTTTAAGGGACATAGAAGAGAAAGAAAAAAAAAAGAAACAAAACCATACAAAACCATACAAAACAAAACGACACCTAGGTAAACCCATCTCAGCACACACACCCCCCCCCCCCCCCCTCACCCCCACAAACCGTTTTTCCAAAACTACTATCAAAAGAGTGATGTCAACGACCCTGTCTCTGAAATGCACGACATGCACGAATCAAATGCCTGTTCTCCTCGATAATTGGCGATGCTTCCCCCCCCCCCTCCCCTCTGGGAGCCGGTACCCCATCCTAAATGCCGAAACACAAAGTTAATTCATACAATTTGCGTATAAATTATTTCTTGTTGGCAGTCAGCCGTTTGTTTGATTGTTTGCTCGTTTGTTGGTTTTTTTGGGGGGGGGGGGGGGGGGGGTTCTGGTGGGGGGGATTGTGTGTATCATGATTAGAGCCACTAATCAATTCAGTTATCAAGCTATCTTTGCAAAGCATATTCAAACCGATCAAAAATCTTATTCGGTGGTTTTTTTTCGAGTGTAGCTACTCCATAATCTACAGAAGTTCACACCAGTAAGCGAGTTTTCTTTCAATAAAACTGTCCGAAGGCTTAGCAGACGACGTAATGTCGTGCTGGCTTGATAAACAATTATGTCTTAGCTTATTTGATTATTCAATGTATATCTTTACTCGATTTTATCGGCCAAACTTGTGGGTTGTTTAAATAAGACGATTTATGGGCACATCCGACCGAATCGAAAAAAAAAATTAATTACATCTGTCAAAATGCAAACCTGGGCATAAAATTCATTACAGTGGAGAAGCCACGAAAGTTAAAATTTGTGTGCATGAGTTCTCAAACATGGCATCAATTTTGTTTTGTTTTTAATTACTAAATATACTTTTTAATAAGTCGACGTTACCTGGATTTGGGCGTGGCCAAGGTGAAGACAGTCATCATGACCTGGACACCACAGGAGAAGACTACCATGCTGAGCAGGAAGTACTGCTGTTTCTGGTAGCGGCCAAACTCGCCAATATGACGAAGGATGTCGTCAAACTTCATGGTGGTGGGCTTATCGGTGGAGTACTCACGATCAGCTTATCACTTAGAAAAAAATCTGGGGGGATGGAAGAAAATCATAGCAGTATAAGTAACAAGCGGGTAGTTATTTTTATTTCAGAATGGCACAAACAGGTACCAACGAATAAATAATATGTATAAATATTATATTGCAGTATAGTTTTAGTGGACTCTAACGTATCTGCAACATATATATATATATATATATAGAGAGAGAGAGAGAGAGAGAGAGAGAGAGAGAGAAAGAGAGAGAGAGAGAGAGAGAGAGAGAAAGAGAGAGAGAGAGAGAGAGAGAGAGAGAGAGAGAGAGAGAGTCGTTTTAATATGAGGATAACGTACATGCAACACAAATAGGTCATATATTAAGTTCTGAAGATTAGAGGTTTTACTAGTAAGTAGCGTACAAGGAAAAGAAGCAAGTGACATATGAAGAAGACCGATATTTGATAGGAAAGAAGGAACAAACCACACCAGAGCTCCCTCCAACCACACTCCCACACTTTGTTTTATAAGTAAATTAGTAAATATAAAAAATAGTCAGGAACATTTAACGTGTATATGCATTACATTGTATACATAATTATGCATGAAATGTTTGCAGTCACATCAGGAGTACGACAAGGATGAATTTTATCCCTCTCTTTTTCATAATCTGCAATATGAGTAGAATCGTGGTGAAATCAGGCGCTCGTCAAGATTATGAAAACAAAGAAATCGGCATTTTCCACCCGCTGGAATTTTCATTAAACTTTTTTTATGGGATGGAGGAGGGGACTAAACACCTTTTATTTCCATCTGGAAATACTTTGCTCTGCGGATTTTACTGGAAAATATTGACCAAAGCCACACACCCAAAAAAATGTAGATTTGCAGTTTCCAAGGGCATTAAAGATTTGAAAGTCATCAAACTTTGGTGGCCATTTTCTCATTAATTATTTCTCTGACACCTAGTGACACCCACCTCATTGAACAGCAAATATGTCGACGTCTATTCAAGACAGATGAGCATTTTTTTCTCAAAAGCAAGACAACTGAATACGCTTTACGATTATACCAATGACTCCCACACATGGACAAAATAACGCAAGACGCAAACCAAAAACCAGAAAGCCTAAAGGAAATTCTGTTTGCAGACAACCAATGTCTTATTCATTCATAGTCGTTCAAACCCAAAAAATCTCCAAAGTCACTCCACCGAACTCAACAACATCTGTGAAAAACTGGACAAGAGGATAACGACACAAAAACAGAAGACATGACAGTCAGCCGAAAACTAAAGATGGCAGTTAGTCGAAATTAAAGTCCCAGGAACATTCTTTTGAACAACAAACAACGGAAACAGGCCAAGGAGTTTTAATATCAGGTAGCATTTTCACTGATGGCGGGTCCCCAGACACAAGGATAGACATACGAATTCAAAAGGCCAACACCGTCACCTGTCAGCTTGCATCCCCCCTACTCACCAAAACATCTCTATGGATACAAATAGACAGTTTATCACTTCAATATATCGCTACCTCTGAACTACAAAGTTCTATTTGACATTTTTGGCTGTTTTGAGTTACTACTAAGAGCATGAGGTTAGAAATCAACCTATATTTGCTTTACCAAACCTGTAAGGTTATTCTGAGTCGCTTTCAAGATATTCAAAGAATTACACTCGAAAAAGCTTGAAATATTGAGAAACTCAAAAAGTTTTACGTCAAATTTCTCAAAACTGGGTACTGAACGGATAGAACTTTGTAACTATAAGACAGCGATATAATGAATCAGCGGTGTCAAATGGCTACGAAGAATGTTTAAAATCCTGAACTTTTCGGACCCAACAGAAATATGGTGCGGGGCTCAAAATTTGCGCACCATAACTATTGCCTAACAAAGACCGGATATCCGGATTTATCCGGTAAATCAACATCTCAGATATATTCCAACATCATGTCACTAATGTCAGACATGAAACTCATGAAAGCAAGATTACTTACTGCATGAAAAATAAAATGACTCCACAAAACACTGTAACATCACATGAAAAGACACACGCAAAGCAGTGAATATAAGAGCAGTTGTTGGCACACACACACACACACACACACACACACACACACACACACACACACACACACACACACACACACACACACACACACACACACACACACACACACAAGAAAAAATCCACTTTACCCCCGACGAGCCAGTTTCGATATTTAAATCTTCAAAGACAAAAGAGGCGGGAAAAGAACAGAATGGAGTGATGTTCGCCGCCACATACCACTGTTGTCAATAAGCCCTCGCCATGCCTCCGGCGGTCATTCTTTGACCCATAAATCAAAAATGAATGTCTCGACACAACGAGTCTACAGGAAGTCTGCTCTGAGTAACGTCAGGTGTTTGAAAATATTCTGCAACAGATGTTAATAATACAAGGAAGTCCCTGTTGGAGTCGACGATAAGAAGAATTTTTGTGAAAATAAAATGTATGCAATGTGTTCTACGAGGGGCATACCAAAAGGTTTTTACCTGACCATGAAGGAATAAAGGTAGAAAGCTGAAATTTGGTACTAACCTTAATCTTCCTCTATATAGTCGCCTTCCACTGTTATACATTTTTTACCATCAGTGTATGACCTTGAAAAGACCTTGAGGGAAAAAAACCCAGTCCTCTACCGCTTCATGGACCCCATCATCACTTCCAAAATGCATTCCTTTTAAATCATTTTTCAGTTTTGGGGAATTTTTTAAAAATCAGACGGAGAAAAGGGTGTATGTGGTAAAATTTCATAGCCACTTTCTCCCACAGTTTCTGGGGCTTTTCTTGAAGTGTGTGCTGGCGCGTTGTCGTGGAGCAGCAAAATGCCTTTCGGGTCTTTCTCCAGCGATTTTCTTTTTTAGCCACTCGCAATTTTTTTAGCTGGTTAGAATAATGGTCTCCGGTGACCGTATGTCCATTTTCAAGATAGTCTGTCATAATCACTCCTTTTTGGTCCAAAAAAAACCAACAACTGATAGCACCACTTTTCCGATTGATGGCTACACCTTTGCCTTATTTGGCGATGGAGACGAGTGTGATTTCCACTGCATTCATACAGATTTTGGCTCAGGATCGTAGCGTTGGACCCATGTCTCATCCATGGTTACAAGTCTTTCAAAAAATTTAGTTTCATCCTTTTCATACGAACTAAGCAATTTTTGACAACAATCCACACGTTGCACTTTTTGAGGAGGAGTCAACAAACGTGGGACCCATTTCGCAGAAACCTTGGTCATATTCAAATGTTCATTTAATATTCGTGCAACTGATCCAATGCTAACTAAGACTAGTTTCTTTGCTCAAAAGTTCTACTGTCACTCGCCTATCAGACATCAAAAGTTTCTTGATTTTCAACATATTCATTCTCTTCTGTTGTTGCTGTCACTAGGCGACCATCACCGAGTCATCTTCAATGTCCATGAATCCGCATTTGAATTTTTTTTACACCAAAATTTTATCGCAGCATAGAATGGGCAATCAGTTCAATATACGGCATGCATCTCCGTAAAATACCATGAAATTGCTTGCCTTGCAAGAGCAAAACTTCATTACTGCCGGTGCTCAATTTTCTCCATTTTTATATTGAAACCGGAGACAAAGATAGTACATAACATAACAAGATGGTCCACTGAGCCAAAAATGTGTCCGCCGGAAGTCCGCTCTTTGCTTCAGATGGCGCTGCAGTCTGTTTTGAAGCTCTCTTTCTTTTCTCCAGAAGAAGAATAGGAATAGCACCTCCTTGCGTGCGCAGATCGGCTGCTGTTCATCAGCTGTTCGGGTTCGTTCAGTGCGGAGTTTTAGGTTTTTATTTTTTTTATTTTAATGACCTCTCGCCTTTTATTTTAAAGCCAAATTAAACGAAGAAAACAATCACCCTTTCCTCCGGAAGAGATTTTTTTGTCATTTTAAAAATAGTTCTTCCGAAATTTGAATTCTTATTTATTCAAAAACTTGTTAGCTTGACTTTGATTTTTTTTAAACACAAGTAGGGTAACTCTGTTCGCAAAGGGTGCGCATTTGCGAAGAGGGCGGCACCAAATTTTTAGGACACTTTTTTAATTGTCTCAAAGAGAGGAGTGGACCCTCTTGTTACGTAGACTCTTTGCTGGAGAACAACATACACCTATTCACTTACAGCGCCCTGGTGTTAAAACCAATAATCGGAAATTTCCCCAAATTTACACGCATTCTTGGAAGATGATTGTTGGCTTTAATCCCAAATTTCAGCTTTCTACCTTTATTCCTTCAAGGTCAGGTAAAAAACGTTTGGTATGCCCCTCGTGTTTGTGTTTTACTAATATAAACTGTCTCGCAGTTGAATCCGAAATGGGACAGCAGAAATATTGCCTCAATATTCGACCAAACCACAGAATGTTTATGCTTTTACGCTTTTTAAGTTTTAGAAAGCGTTTTACGGCATTTGCAACACAATTAGGTCAAATAAGTGCCAAAGATTAAAAGTGTTACAAGAGAGTATAAGAAGGAGAGATAGAGACGATAGTTATTAATAGGAAAGAGAGAGCAAACCACACCAGAGCACCCGCAAACCGCTTACCCATAAACTTTTTAAAAGGCGTTTATTAACACATGTGTAAGATACTACCTCTCGAGCTGCCCTTAATACTGGGAATGTTAAGGGCATTGCGATTTGTTTCTTTAAGAAGAGAGAGAGAGAGAGCAGCGTCGACCCTGCCAGTAACAGCCAACTCCGGCTGAGTAGGACACACATAATTTTGTTTTGTATTATATCGTAAGAGTATTACGGCTCTCGCAACACAACCACTACAGCCCGGGCGCTAGTGCTTTCGAGTGAGCCTCTGAGAGCAGGTAAAATTAGAAGCGACATGAAAAACAATTCAAAAACAGCAAACCGGTAAGGAGAGGAGAAACTGCTCTCACCAGCTACCCGTGATTATGCGCAAAAGAGAAGAAAAGGAATTTTCAAAAGTAAATAATAGTCGAAACTGTCCTAGACAGCCACCCTCTGTCGATGAGAAAAGTGGACG